GATACACTGTTAGTGCTTTATGTCTGATACAGTGTCCTTCCTGCTGTGGGGGTCTCTAAAAATAGTAAAAATGTGTTTCTTTTAAGAATTTACAGCGGGGCAAACACACAATTAGTGCATAACACACCTCACTTCGTGCACCACGTCTTTTTGGCACAGGTTCTGCATGGTGTGCTGTGCACAACTCACAACAGGAACACCTGAAAAATGTGTTTGTGAAGGGAATTCCTTAGCCTAGTCTGGGCAGTGGCAGTGTGCAAGCGACCTCAAGACGAGACGAGCACCTCACTCTATCATGGCCATGACTAACTGTTTCCTCTGGAAAGTCTGAGAAAGAAACCATTTCAATAGCAAAGACTTTGACACCTCGAACGTAAGTCAAACCTTCTATATTGATATCTTATTATTATTGTGCTTTTCTGCTGTGAGCAGCAGCTAACTCACCTGAGTGCAGTTTCATAGTGATGAATAGCTTCTTGGTTTCTCCCTTGGTCTTTCAGAAAGTTGGCATAGTTGTAGTGTACCTTGGCATTGTGAGGCAGAGTCTGAATTCCAGATCTACAAGAGAAGATAAAGCACATCAGCCAGTCACAACAAGAACCAAATGACGTTCCAGTGCTTCAAAAACTTCAAAAAGGCAGAAAACAAAGCAGATCTGTCTGGCCCCAGTCTCCTCCCAGCACAAGATCAAACTGCAAAGCTTGGATAAAAACAGAGAGGAACAACAACATCCGGTCTATGAAAAGAGCACGCCGACAGCACTCCCCAGGGATTCCAGAAACTCATACTCATCTTCCCTGCTCCTCATACTGCCCCCTGCTGTTTAACCCTTGATCTTCATTGTCTGTCTCATAAAAAAGCTGAAGCTACTGCATTGAACAGCACTGCAGAGTCTCCTTGAATTCTGCAATGAATGTGCTTTAAAAAAACTGACCATTATAATTATTATTCTAAGAGTTATTGGGCCTATACACAGTGCCTTGCAAATGTATTCTCTCCCTTCCAACAATGTCCCAGTTTGTTGTATTACCCATGATATATGTACAGTTTTAAACTATTTTTAGTACTAGCTTGATTGCTCTATCGAACACATGTGAGTGATAAAAGTTCAATTTCGGCAAAAACTGCAAAGAAAAAATTCTGTTCATTGTTACAATGTATTTACCTCCTTGACAAACATAAATTAGTTCAGTTGCACACAGTTACTTTGACAAGTCGCACAATTATTTGAACAGCCTCTGTCAGCGTGCTTTAATAGTGGTCCATGATTTTAGACTATAAACCTGTGTCTCCGTGAGGTGCCTCAGTCAGGCAGCGAATTTCAAGCAAAGCTTCAACCATGAAAACCACTGTACCGGCCCAGCAGGGATAAGATCAGGCTGTTCCTCCAAACTGAGGAGCTGAGAAAGGGGGAAACTGGTCGGGGGTGCCCCTGTGAGGACAACTAGAGTGACCGGCAGAGAGGAAGAAAATGTCCATGAGTCAACAATCTGACCAGTGAGACAGTGTGGAAATTCCAGCTCAAGTCCCACATGGAGTCTGCTTAAATGGAGCATTTAAGTGATACTGTAAATACGTGGTAAAAGGTTAAGTGATCAGATTAGGCATTTGGAACGTATCTGTCTCCATGCAAAGCTTTACACTTGGCACAAACCCAACACAGTGCATCACTCAGTCAACACCAGCCCTACAGTCAGGCATGGCGGGGGCAGCGTTACACTTTCCGGCTGCTTCTCAGGGACCTGGGGGCCTGTCAGGATTGCTGGGCAAATGGGCGGAGCACAGTACAGGCAAACGTAAGAGGAAAACCTGCTCAAGACTGCTGGAGACTTAGAACTGGGACACAAGTCCAGCTTCCATCAGGACAGCGACCCCGAGCCCAAGGCCAGGGCTCCAGCAGGGAATGGTCTCACAGGAAGACGTTACCTGAAGAGCGCCTCCCGGGACAGCCAGGTCTCGTTCTGCTGCACGGTCTTCCAGGAGAAGAGCAGCAGGAGCAGCAGCAGGGACAGCGTCAGCGCGGGCGCACCCCACCGGCCCACCACGGAGCACAGCCTGCTCAGGCCATGGACCACCAGGATGCAGTACCCCATGCTGGAAGAGACGGGGCAACGGAACAGGATGAAAGGGGTCCTGCAGAGCCCCACATCCAAAAGCCACCCCCGCTAGTGTCCTCCCCCTCCTCCGCCCTTCTCACCCGCAGGCCCTGTGCTCACTGTAGCCACCGCCCTGTCCTTCACTTTCGAATGGTCACAAGGCTGGGATTATACAGCAGGACGCTGCACTCATCTTAATCCAGGAATCCCACAAACCTTAAAAAAGGAACCAAGCTGGGCTGCGGAAGACACTGCCACTGCCTTAAACAAACTGAGAACATGAGTTTATCACCAGCATCTCTCACACTTAGGTTTTGCTTGTACGCTGGATGCTTTAAAGTTCACCTCCATTATTCTGAGCACCTACAATTAAAACAAAACGACTGAAAGATATTCCAGCGGCAGTGTCTCGTTTCTGGGACCCATCTCTCTCAGCGCTCACGCAGATCCTCCTAATGGTTCCCCCTGCCCCTAGCGGGTTTCGTCAAGCCTTAATTGAGCTCCGGGGCTCCTGGGTCCCCTTTCATTCTGTTGAGCTGTTTGCTGATTTCCTTGTTTGCAATCTCACTTTAACCCAGGGAGCCACGTCAGCTACAGTACGTCTCTCTGCGCTGGCTTGGACTGATACCTCAGTGTTCGAAACTCCACTCGAGCATCAGCACTCAACGCATTTCCTTTTTTTTCTTTGACACAGCAGCAAGAGAGGAGAAGCCGGCTCTCCGAAAGGCTCCAATTCTGCCTTCTTCTCCTTCTTGCAGATCACTCTAGGTGTTTAAAATATTCTTGGCAGCGCATGACTGCAAAGGCACAAACCCAGTAATCCCTAAGAGTGGCAAAAAATGTAATAAAGCACAAGCTACACGTATCTCAACACAATGTGTGAAATACAGTCAAATTCTGCTTTTTTCCTTTGGGGGATAAGCCAGCGCCTCATTGACTGAACTGTGCCAACCATGTGGGGCCAATCAGTCTTTCCAAAGAGCCTCAGACTGCTCCTGGGAAACAAAGTGAGACACAAGCGGATTATGGGAAACTAAAAAATAAGACAGCAGGATACAGTAATGACCTTGTGGAGAGCCCCTGGGGTCTGGATCTTTGCAGAGGGTGAGTCAGGGGGCCTGTGAAAAACAACAGCATTTCTGACTGAGCTGCACTGCTCCCTGTAATTATTAAAGTGATTGAAGTGATGCATGCAACACATAAAAAAAAACTGCAAGTAAGCGATCAAACGCACTGGGAAAGTCATCAGATCTTCACTGACCAGTTTGAAGACCAAAGGAAGCGAGCAGCACTCTGTGATCACTTCTGCCTGCCTTCCTCCGAGACACTGTGTATTTCTATCAACCTAAGCCAAGCCTGTCTTTTCACACTGCCTCCATAACCACGACTATCAAGGGATATATAAAAGCAGCAGTTCAAAGAGAGGTTTTTTGTCCAGCGGACTCTTTGGAAAGTGCTCTCCGCAGGAATTCAGGCCATCAGATCCCATTACTGGGAACAGTCACACTGGCTGCTTCCACAAATCCTCCGCCCAGGTGGTACTCCTGGCAGGCTGCTGGCTGCTCCCGAGCAGCCGTGAAGGGATAACAGGAAGGTGTGCTGTAAAGACCTTCTGTTCTGCACTGGGCTTTACTGCCGCTTACACATGGCATTTTGGAAGGCCTGGGAATATCCCACAAGGCATCCCTGCAATGGAATCAAATCTGTTATAGTGAACCTGTGGCCAGACCTTGTGTATTGCCACAGCTGGTCTTATATTCGTGATCATATCTGGGCAACACTCTCCAAAGTCTGACTTATCTCCACACAGAATAACAGAAATGAGCAGACAAGAAAGTGGTATTGTTCTTGTTTACTGAGTTGAAGAGGCGTGATTGTTTCTAAAAGATCCACTTCTCCATCTTCAGAGAAACCTATTCGTTGGCCCCCGTGTTTAAGAATGCTGCTCTGTATAGTGATGAAACAGGTGAGAATGGACAAGGTCCAGTCATAGGTTTGCCCACAGGAACCTGACAGGGATGAGCAATTTAATGTCACGATTAATCAATTAATTGGTTAATTAACTAGGACCACTGATAAAGTCTGAATTAAGGCTCAATCAAGATATGAGGATAAAACAAGTCAGCTTGTTTTGTGATTGGTAATTACAAGAGAGGAAATGGGTCAAAATAAGTTATTTATATACAAAGTAGTAGCAGTAGTAGCAGTAGCAGTAGTAGTCCATAAACATCACTTACAGCAGCAACCTGGTTTTCCTCAGAGGTCTCAGCCCAGTACTGACCAGGCCCGGCCTTGCACAGTCTCCGAGATCTGACTGGATCAGACTACAAGGTGGAAACACTGCTGGAAATCTAGAATGACCCTGAATAGTTTACACGCCGTACAAAACCTGTATTCATGTGAACTTCACAAAGCATGGGAACAAGCCTGTTCGTCCAAAACCAAAGCACATTGTCCAATTCCTATCAGCCACCAGCCGACCAAACACTCTCTTAATTTGACGTGTTTTTATAAGGAGGCCAAAATCAATCTGACGTTCTTCATAAAAGATCGGCTTCTGAGTGTGCACATGACATATAGAAACTGGGTAGGGTACTGTTTGTTTTACTAAATGGACCATAACATTGTATAGTCAATTAATTGCTGCCATATAAAAGGGAGTCACCAGATTATGAGCAGTGACATTCCCCGTGGACAGCGCAGCACTCAAGATAATTAAGCGTCAGCCGCTGGCCTGCTGCCTGTTTCCTCAAGATCTGCCGAGAGGCTCCTGCTACAGAAGGAAGGGCAGAGGGCACTCAGAGATGAGAAATGCGTGGAAGCTAGAAAGCTACAGAATTCAATTAACAAAAAAAGCTCTCGAGAGAAAAACCTTCATTTCCGCCCCGTAAGGAACAAGCCCTTTTAATGCTGCAGAATTGCATTGGCTTTTTCAACACAAGCTGCTACCGTTATTAATGATGGTGGAGGACGTGTTCATTAAGACCTTTGTGTTTAAGGTGTATGAGTTCTACTCTTCATGGCTCTCACAAAGGCTCTTCAAATACGTGCACCATGTTCAAACTGCTCGGCTTTATTTTTCAACGCCTTTTTAACCCTACCCCATATTTAAATAGTCCCTTGATATTCAGGAGCAGACTTTCTACAGAGGTGAGCATCCCTTCTGTGGATCTTATGCTAAATGTGTCACACCGTCTTTAATCTAGGGCTGAGTTCTTTATATTTATGAAAAACCGAACGCAGCTCGCGGGTCCAGTTTAGATCGGCGCTCCTCAGCTGCCTCTGGGGGATTCTCTTCTTCCAGCCACAGAGCTGGGACAAGCCTGCCCGGTGTCTCCACATTTCTGCGCTCTGGGAAGCTGGCGTGTCGTGCCCGCAGGAGATGAACGTCAAGTTCGCGGTCCTGCAGCGCTGAGGGCCTTTGGTGAGCCTGCGCTTTCCCCCTCGCCCGAGAAACTTTGGGCTCTCGCCCGGCAGAGCAGGGGGTGGGGAAAATGAGCGACGAGCCCACGGCGGCTGGGGGTGAACCGCGAGCTGCGAGGACAGCTGTAGCGGAACCTGTAATACATTTCGGCCACAAGGCTCAGCTGACTGAGACAGCCACATGGTGCTGTGACATGCTGAGAGATGATTGGCTGTAAGTCTGGTGGGGGCGGGCAAGGGGGCGGGGCAAGAGGGCGGGGTTTCCCTGCCCTGTGTGCGGTCACAGGGTTAGTGGCCAAGACGTGAAGAAAGACAGCTATTCCAAACCAGATCGATAAAACAAAAATAACTGGTGATACTACATGAAAGTAACCACAGCCCAGGCAGGGCACCCAGAACACAAATCAGTCCAAGAAAGATGGAGTGGAGGAGATTTTGGGCTCATTTTTGTAGTGAAGGCCAAGTGAAAAGTAAAAGAAAGACGACTTGTGTTTACTCTCACACACACCCGACTCTCAATCTTTTTGCAGCTTTTATTTTTGAATTAATTTTCTTGGCAGTGCATCGCCAATCTGTTCCAGCAGGGATTTGTTTCAAAGGAATCATGATGTGAAAAAAATATTTCTGTCTGGCAGTTTCACCATTTTTATTTTATTACTTTCTTTAAAATCTTGCCATCATGGCCTGAAAATTCACTGTTGGTTGCAGCAGGTTTTAAAGAAATAAAAGGAAAAAAAGTACGGTAGTATTTTACTTGGCTTTAATGATTCCATTAGATCTCAAACATTTTTGACGTGTGCTTCGTTTTAGAAAGTGGTTTGAGTAATTGTTGCTTTCGATCCACAATTAATCCCGGTCTCCGCTGCACTGACATTGCAAATCAACTGTCCAGACTCTGCTGACCACAAGTGATTTTCCTCATTGTAAAAGCTCAGAGGAAGAGGGGAATATGAATAAGAATGCACTAGTGAGGGAAAGTAAACGGAGAACACTTAAACCTGAAAACATCCAGAGGTGTTCCAGTGCTCTAACAGGAGCGAGATGTGAACGGAATATCAACATGGTTAGAAATCAGGGAGTAACTATCGTGGAATAAGAAATCAGTACAGGGAACCCTTCCGGAATCCCTGGGTTTACATTAGACATTCCTAACATGCAGCACAGTCCCACGTGAGATACGTTTCCTTGCATTTCCGCTATAGATGCAATGTTTTATTATTCCCAATAGCAACTGGGAGCCAACACAGACCACTTAGAGCGCTCGTGTTTTAGAAAAACGAATGAAGAAAAAAAGATTCCCAGGTAATCGTGGTTACAGATACAAATAAAGCGCAGAACACACTCCAGCTCTTCAGTACCACGTGGGCTCCGGCTCCACTGTGAAAGCGTGCCGGTCAGCTCTGCTGCCTCAGGGGCCTGGGTTCAAACGGGGACTGGGGGGCATGTGGACACAGGATGCACGGGCTCCCCCCCACCTCCAAAATCCAAGCAGGCCAGGCTCCCTGGCGTCTCCCCGCAGGGCAGCACTGCGCTTCTGTGCTCGGCGCCGTGCTGGACGGCGGGTTGAAACGGCCT